TCCCCGGTCCCGCACAGAGAAGCGTGAGGGGTGCCCTGTGGTCTCGGTGGGCTCTTAGACAAGAGGGCCTCCTCCCCCTGCAACGGGACTCAGGAAGGTGCTCAAGGTGGCCCTGCCAGCACCGTCCCCTTCCGCCATATTCCCCAAGCCCACGGGAGGGGGACCAGCCCGGTGCCGGGCCCTGTGGATGCCACAGTCCCTGCTTCACTGTTCCAAGGGTCGCTGAGCCCACTCTGCTGGGGATGTCCACGGAGGCTCCTTCAGCCCAGGGTTTGTCGGGCCTGAGTTTAGCTACACAGATCCCGAGACCCCCTCGGCCACCATGACTCAGGCCCCCTAGAGGGTCCACCAAAAGGGTAGGTCACGGGATCCACCACCTGCCCCAAATCAGAAACCCAAGAGTCAGGTCCAGCTGCCTGCCCTCCCCTGTCTCCCACCCCAAGGGGCCTCCTTCCTAAATATCCACTATCCACCCCCAGTCACCACTGCAGGTCAGACCTCTGTCACTGTCTCCCAAGTGTGTCCCCACCCCCTGTCTCTCTCTCTCTCTCCTTCCACCTTTTCTGCACACAGTGACCAAAGCCAACGACCATGCCTCTCTCTTGCTCTGAATCTCAGAAAAGTTCTTGGCATGGCATTCAAAGCTCTTCAACCTCTAGTCTGACTTACCTTTAACTTTGCAATTCGTACTTACTGTCACACACCCCAAGCCCCAGCCACATTCTTTTGCCTCTGCCTGCTTTTTTTGTTTTTTGTTTTTTTTTTTTGAGTTGGAGTCTCACTCGGTCGCCCAAACTGGAGTGCGGTGGCCGCTCCCGGCCACCACAGCCTCGACCTGCTGGGCTCCAGCGATCCTTCCGCCTCAGCCTTCCAAGTAGCCGGAATTACAGGCATGCGCTACCACGCCCAGCTGATTTTTTGATTGATTGTAGAGATGAGGTCTCGCTGCCCAGGCGGGTCTTGAACCCGCGGGCTCAGGCAATCCACTCACCTCAGCCTCCCAAAGTGCTGGGATTACAGGCTGAGCCACCGAGCCCGGCTTCTGCCTGCTTTTTACATATTCTGTTCCTGCAGCTAGCAATGCCCTTCCTCCACGCCTCTGTTCCCAGAACTATTCAGCCCTCAAAGCCCAAGTCGGGACCATTCTTCCCACAGCCTCCCCTGCCTGCCTCTGGGCTCCTGCATCTGTCTTGGGGTTATCTGTGATTCTTTCTTGAGCTTCTGGCTTTAGACGGAAAACTCTTATACTGGCTTACCCTGGGATTCATTCTACGTGTCGATGCTCCCTTTCATCTGTGTTTGTCCCGGCCCCTAGCCTGCGCCTGATGTGTGGGCTCAGGACAGAAGTGGATAGATTCAGGGCAGAATCCTGGGTGGGGAGGTTCCCTGGCAAACACCTCCCTGCAGTGACCTCCTGGATCCTGGCTCTGCCCCCGAGACATTGTGCTTCATGGATCTTGCTTTTTGGAAATTCCTTCCTCTCACTTCTCAGGAACAGAGAGAGCATCGTATCTTAGGCTGTGAGGCCGAGACCCGCCCCAAGACCAGCATCTGAGCGTGTGTGTGTCTTTTTCCACCCAGATTGTCATTAAGATCATCTCAAGACTGTGCCCTGGCTTCAATCACTGGGTCACACAGGGAAATAAATGATGGTTTCTTCTACCTCAAGTGTCTTTTCAGACACTTCTCAAGGAGAAAGCCTTAGATAGGTGCTAATAGGTCTTGAACCCTCCTGTTCTGGCTAAGTTCCTTTTTAACAAAAAGCCCAGCTTGAAGGCAACATTGTTTCATTCCTGTTGGTCCACTCAGGCAACCCGGCTTGTATCTAAGGTTGGTAACACTGACTGTTGGAGATGATACAATGTTTCCTTTCAAAAGGAAATAGAAATTTCGAAGGTGTTGGTGGAAAAAACGTCTCCAATCATGCCACCATTCAGGTTGCATGTGGAACTGGCTAAAGTTTTGGGGTCACGTCTCAGCTGTCTCTCCCTGGGGACACTGAGGCACAGTCCTGTTCACTGAGGCAGAGTGGGGTTTAGACGCGTCCACAGAAAACCAGATTTGCCAGCCACTTTGCTGAATGTAGACGCTCCTGGGCACGGCGAGGACTCCCTCCCTTCAGAGGTCAGGTTCTGGCCATCTGGACGTCCAATGCCTGTCCCCTCTGGGAGGCCGGACGCATCCCTCGGTCTGACAACCGCTGTGCCCAGGGCCTCGCCCCGCTGAGCCTGGGCCCTGAGGAGGGTGCCCTCTGCCCCTTCTGTTTTCTGCTAGAACTGGAGGGTCACGGCTGGAGGCCATGGCCGAGCCCCCTGGGGACAGCTCCTCCCCAGGGAGCGGGTTCTGGTCATTCCAAGCGACAGGACAGCATGGACACAAGGCCACAGAAACAGGCCCAGAACCAAACCAACGTGGCTGCGACGGATCACAAGAGACAGAAGCGAGAGAGAGAGAGAGAGAGAGAGAGAGAGAGAGAGAGAGAGAGAGAGAGAGAGACTTTACCGTGTGCTGCTCCTGGTGACGTGGCGTCAGAGGGAGAGACAGATCGTGAGCGGCCTCAGAGAGAACACAGAAGACCAGAAGACACACGTACACACACGCACACCTGAGCGCCCCTGCCCGCCCGGGTGCCAGGAGGGGCAGCCTCGGGCTTGCGACTCTGGCGATGCCGTCCTTAACCTTCCACCTGGAAGCCCCCCTGCAGCCCCCGGCCGGCACCTGGTAAAAGCCAGATCTAGCAGGACAGCTAGGAGGCATGTCCACGGCCACGGGTGAACTCGCCACGGAAAGTCACTGCCAAGAGCCGGGGAGACCTCTTTTCTCCAGCAGTTCTGGTGCTGGGAGGTTTTAGGTCTCAAAGGTTGTGCGTGCTGAAGTCGAGCCCCGGGTTTGAATCCTGACTCTGCCTCTGATGATCCCCATCTGTAAAACAGGCCTAGGCCGGGCGAGGTGGCTCATGCCTGTAATCCCAGTACTTTGGGAGGTTGGGGCAGGAGGATCACTTGAGGCCAGGAATTCGAGACCAGCCTGAGCAACATAGTGAGACCTCGTCTCTACAGAAAACTAAAAATAAAAATGAGCCTGCCATGGTCAGACTTGGTCTCATTAGGAACCTCCAATGAAGGTAGGAATTCCCGTTAGAAAGACTCAACTACCATTAGAACAGCGGAAACCCCAGTGCCAAGCTGTATATATTTTAAATTAATTTTTTTTTGAGTTGGAGTCTCACTCTGTCACCCAGGCTAGAGGGCAGTGGCAAGCTCTCAGCCACTGCAGCCTCGACCTGTTGGGTGCAGGTCATTCTTCCACCTCAGCCTTCCAAGTAGCTGGAACTACAGGCGTATGCCACCACGCCCGGCTGATTTTTTGATTTATTGTAGAGGTGAGGTCTCACCAAATTGCCCAGGCTGGTCTTGAACCCGTGGGCTCAGGCAATCCCCTCATCTCAGCCTCCCAAAATGCTGGGATTATAGGCATGAGGCATTGCACCCGGCCTAGTGATATTTTTAAGAACACAGAAAGGTTCAAAGCCTGCAAACATCCCCAGTGGGTTTTCCCTCCCCCACACCCCTTTTTCCTGTAGCCTAGCTTGGATTATCAAAGCCAGGGTATCTAAGAATATTGTATACAGGTGATTTTAAACACCATTTTCTTTTCTTTTTTTAGAGACAGGCTCTTGCTCTGTTGCCCAGGCTGGAGTGCAGTGGCCCAATCACAGCTTACCGCAACCTTGACCTCCTGGGCTCAAGTGATCCTCCTGCTTCAGCCTCCCAAGTAGCTGGAACTACAGGTGCACCCCACCATACCCAATTCCTTTATAGATGACGGAGGGAGTTTTAAAAGAGTGACTTTGGCCTAATCTGCTGACTTTGTTTTCTAAACATCACTGCATTTGCCTGTGGGGAAATGGTACCATTGGGCCATTTTCCAGATGAGGAAGCTGAGGCCCAGAGAAGGAGACAGACTTGCCCAAGGGCACACAGCCAGGGAGTGGCCGACAGAGATTCAAACCCAGGTGTGGGTGTCTGACCCCACGGGCCGCCTTCCCATTCCATCACACACAAGAAAAATAATGCCTGGAGTCGGAGGCTGTTTTGATGATGAGGATTAAAAAAAAAAGCAGCCGGCTGAGGGCTCCATCTCTGGCTTCCTGCCCACTTGACTCCTGGGTATGCAGGAGCAGCTTGATCTAGGCGTGCTGCCAGCCATGCAGGCCTGTGGTCCTGCCCCGGGGGAGGAGCGGACGCGCCAGATGGACTCTTGGCAGTGAGGGCAGGATCATGATCCGCCAGCTGCTGGGAAGTGTCAGTTGGCCGCCCCGCTGGTGGGCACACAGCGTGACACCACATGTGATGGCTTGTGAAATGGCACGGTAATGGTGGCTGCATGACACATGGGCCATAGTCAGAGGATGGAACTGGACATACACACATGGATGCGGGGCGAGGGGGGAGGTGGAACCTTCCGGAGCTTCGACACATCCCTTGGGGGACCACAGGGATTTCCCACATGGGAGGCGGGGCCACAGTCACAGCACTGGGGGGAATCCTTGCTCTGACCCCAGCAGGCCAGAACAGCAAGATCCCTCTTGACAAGGAAGGGTACAGTCTCACGCCCCCTTCCCCTGACCTCTGGTCCCACCAGGGCCTCAAAGATCTGATTCTGCCAACCGTGAACCTCGACCATCGGGCTTGAACTTGACCTCCATGACCTCACTGAACTCACAGACCTCTGAGCCTCAGTTTCCGCATCTGCAAAATGGGAATGGTGAGAGGCTCACGTGGAGGCTATGAAGATGAAATGAACAGAGGCTGTGGCTATTATTACCACTGTGTCTGGCTTTTCTATTTTACAGGGGAAACTGAGGCTCAGGGAGGTGAA